TAATACGTTTTGCAAATTATTAAAGGTGGAGGATGTGACCAGGGATAGAAGACTTTAATGAAATCCTTTTCCTAGCCTTTTTCTCAGCTTTCGCTTTTTCACAATTTCGGCCTTTTCAGTCTCTCTATGTCCCCCTTGAATAGTCTGAGGACCAGTCTTGGCAAGTCTGAGCTGATATTTAACAATTATCGGATGAGGATGAGTGTAACCTGAAGAATTATTCCGAGGCGGATAACACCCTTCGAGAACCTTATCATTCTTCAGATCCGACAACAGTAGAATTCAATAACTGTTCCCGCAGAAAATACTTAAAATCCTTTATTTGGTCTCGGTAAATAACAATGCAAAAAAGAACTTGGCCAATACCCTGTCATTTTGATTGAAAAAGCTTGCTTAATAACACATATTTTTTGGATTATGTTTGCAAACTCTGGAGAATAAAAGGCACTAATAAGAAAGAGTGATACGTTTTTCAAAAATTCAAAAGTTACAATTAAAAAATTATTTTTCATTAGGCAATCTTACTTTTTTTTCCCGTTACGAACTTAGCCGTGACGAAAACTTTCATTTTAAAACCAAGTATTATCGCCAACTGAGTCATATAGAAGTATAATTATCCAATTACGAAGCTCGCTTTAGCCACAATGCAGCCTTTTTAAAAGCGCAAAGTTCGAAAAAATCGCTGTTTAAAAATATCAGAGGAATATTTTTGAGTGTTTATTATTTTTCAGAACTGGATGGCCAAAACATTGCATTCGCAAGGACGATTTCACCATCAATTAGTACTATCCAACCACATAACTTTATTATTAAACGGTGTGCACGGCTGTAATGGGTTTTAGCAAATAATTCGAGAAAAATTAATATTTCTTTGAAAAAAAATGTCCCGTCGAGTCAGTCAGTTCTGACTTTTGGAAAGCACCCTAAGATACCATTGAAATTTACATAAGAGATTGACATTAATGAGGTCGCACTACCTCGCACCTGTTGTAGTAATTACTAACAGCGTCCTGTTCCGTCTAAAATTAATGATATTCCTGTCAACTATGACGTAATTTACCATATAAGGGAGATTAAATTTGAGTCCGTCTTAAAACTTTGAAGGAAAGAATCACACTCGAACATTATTTTTACATTATTTGTGTGGACAGTTCACTTATTGTTTGCAAAGCATACATATGTGCATTAACTGTTAAGCCATCAAATAAGGAGCGAAAAGAACAAGATTTTTTTCAAATCAGGTGTTTTTTTTTCTTGGAATATCATCTGGTGAGTCGTTTACCCTTCTTTTCAACATAGGAGAAAATCGCGCCAAGAACGATGAATGAAAATGTCTAACAAGAATTCCCGTTTAAAAACACTTCTTTTTGTAAATAATAATTGAAAGTTTCTGTACATCAAAAATTAAGAAAAAGAAGGTTTTTACCCACATACTCTTTTGTGAAATTTTCAATTCGCCAGGATGGATGTAAAGGTTTTCTTATTATGACCTATTATGACTTACTCAAATTAAGTACTCACAATGCTAATTAATAGTTCTCCTTTTTTTTTTCTATCACATTCGTATAGCTTCATCTGTTAATTCGCCGAACAAAAAGTCTCCATTTTATAGGAAAGGAACGTTTTGACTTAACAACAAGACGTGATAACGTTTAGATTTTCATCCCACACGACAGAAAGTGTTAAACGAGACATTAAGAAATCGACGATTGTTTGTTTTCACATTATTCTGGATATTTGGATTATTATCATTTTATTCAAAATAATTCTATGTTTCTGGATGGCTCAAATCGCGCAGTTAATTCTTCATAACTACCGACTATCGTTGACCGAAATAACAAGACGTTTGTGATATCAATACCAATGACCTCAATTGTAAGGAATATTGACAGAAAAAAAAAAAAAAACGTCAACCTATGAGAAGCCCTGAGGAAGTTGCATTAGCTCAGCTGTTTTCTTAGAACTAGAGAAAATGGCAGAAACCAACCACTAAACGAATGATAACTGCCATTTAAAAACTATCTGCTAGATTCAATACTCTTTATATCGTGAATTTACCGAGGAACTAGCAAATAAAGACGGAACATTAAGGGCAACAAAAACGTGCCACTTAAAAAGAGGCGTTGTGTGCTTTTACTAGCCACGAATCAAACCATATTTAACAGGTTGTTATAGGGTGCGAAAAGTTGTTGAAGATAGCAAAGAGTGGTTCTGCTTTTAGTTGCGTGTTAAACCGGCCCAAGACAAACTTGTTTTACCGCCAGTGAGTCAATTCTCGCATAGTTTTAATATATAGATTTAACCAAGGTTAAAAGCGAAGCGTCCATTTATACTTGTAATTACTGAAAAACAGGAGCTCATCAAAAAAATTACAACGAATGAAGTCCAATCTATGAAAATCCAGAAATTTAGACTTAAAATATTTTAAAACAAGAAGACGAAAAGAGAAAAATATAAATCAAATTCGATCACAGTAATAGTTTTGGAAAGGATTCCAACCCAAATTCGATCACAATAATAGTCTTGGAAAGAATTCCAACCCAAACATGTATCACTGACCCCCCACCCCCCCCCCCCCTCCCCCCCCCCCCCACACACCTCCCCCCCCCCCACCCCCCACCCTCCCCACCCCACCCACACCACCACACCACGCACTAACTATCCGTATCTACATAACCGCCCACTTTACTGACTCACCGACATTCTTAGTTTGTTTT